GGAGATTGTTAGAACATAGTTTGATTCTACAACCCTTGATTAGAGTTTTGATGATAACAAAATACAAAGAATAAATTATTTCAAAGATATATACAAAGAACAATTATGCTCCTTAAAATTATGTTTTGTATATGCAGAAATTCTGATGGAATCAACATCAGAATGGAATCAGCATCAGAAGATCAGCAACCTGTGCTACACGCTGAAGCTACCAGATTATACGCTGAAGCTTGATGACCAGAATCTGCGCCTAAACAAATACACTCTGACTCTAATCAAAGACATCTTTACCAAGTCATCAACACTCTGAAGCGTTATCAGCAGATACAGCAAAGAAGACTCTGAAGCGTTACTGGTTATTCAAGACAGAATTAAATGCTAATGGCTTTCTTCAGACAAAGATCTTCTACAAAAGGAAAGTGCATTATTATAATTAAACCTGCTTTATGGACAACGTATCCTTGCTTGCCTATATAAACAGGTCTGCTTGTGAAAAGAAGCACGTACGTACGCACTCAAAATTTGCCAAGCTATCCAAACCACGCATATTCAAAGCTTTAGCAAATTCATTTTATTCCAAGCTTATTTTGTGTAATTATCACAGTTGTGATATACAGTTTTGTAAGAAAACAACAATACACACTTGTTCAATTCATTTGTAAAAGAAGTTCCTTGAGATTAACCGGATTGTGGTTGTACTCAAGAAGACTTTAATAGTTGTTAAAGTAGTTGTTGTAATCCTTTGAGAATAGTGGATTAAGACCTCGCTGGAGAGAGGAGAAATCACTTTGACGGGTGGACTGGAGTAGTTTGAGATCAAACGAACCAGGATAAAAATACTGTGTTGTTAAGCCTTTTGATTTAAGTTTTACAATTCACCCCCCCCCCCCCCCCCCCCTTCTTGTGTTTTTCACATCTTCAGTGATAATGGCACGAAAGCTAAGACATTATTTCCAAAGCCATTCGATAACTCTGAGGACCAATTATCCAATAAAATAGATACTAAAGAAGGCTGAATTGGCCGAGAGAATGGTCACCTGGGCTGTTGAACTATCTGATTATGACATATAGTTCACCGCAAGGACAAGTATCAAATCGCAGGTGCTGGCCGATTTTCTGGCCGAGTTGAGTAACCTTGTACCAGAGGAAAGTGAAAGCAGATGGATTCTTCATATGGACGACTCATTCAACCTTAAAAGGAGCGGGGTCAGGATTATACTTGAAGGACCAATAGACTTCATACTAGAATATTCTTTGGGTTTCAATTTCCAAGCCAGTATAACCGGGAGGAATATGAGGCTCTGATAGAAGAAATGAAAATGGCTAAAGATGTTGGAGTGACCCATCTGACAATAAAGACTGACTCACAGCTGATTGCGGGACAAGTAAGGGGAGAGTATCAGACCAAAGATTATGCACTACTGAAGTACCTACAGATAGTGATGGGGCTGTCAAAAACCTTCTTGGAGTTTGAAGTCAATCACATCCCAATCAAAGAAAATGTACGAGCCGACTTGTTAGCCCTACTTACCAGTACTAAAGGGTCGGGGCAGAACAAAAAAGTGATACAAGAGATCTTGGAAAGGTCGAGCACTGAAAGTGAGGAAATTATGGAAATTGAGCAGTCAACTGGATGGATGACACTAATAATACAATACTTGATGAAGAGAATCCTACCCGACGATATCAATGAAAAGAGACATATAAAAAAGATATCCTCATGCTATCTTATAGTGGCCGACAAGATATACAAGATGGTGAGATCAACACCCATGTTGAGATATGTATCAAAAAGCGAGACTACACTGATAATGAAAGAGGTCCGTGAAGGAGCATGTGATAGTCATATTGGAGGAAGAGCCTTATCAAGAAAAATCCTCAGAGTTGGGTACTATTGATCCCGTATGCTGCAAGACTGCTCCGAATTTGTAAGCAAATATGATAAGTACTAGGTATTTGCGTCATTCATACACTCGACAGCCGAATTATTGCACTCTATCTTTTCTCCATGGTCGTTCTACCAGTGGGAAGCAAACATACTAGGCCTATTTCCCACTGCGTCTGGACAACCCAAATTCTTAATTGTGGTGATAGATTACTTTACAAAATGGGTAAAAGTTGAGACTGTGGCATGTATCACCGTCGAGAAGGTACGGGGCTTTTACTGGAAAAATATTATATGTAGGTTCGACTTACCTAGGGTCATAGTGTATGACAAAGGAACCCAATTTGCGAGTGCTTCCTTGCTAGAGTTTTGCAAAGACTTGGGAGAATAGATTCACATTAGTAGAGCACTCTCATACCAACAGACAAGCAGAAGCAGCAAACAGGATAATCCAAACTGAGATGAAGAAGAAGCTGGATGAAGTCAAAGATCTCTGGTTCGAATACCTCCACGAAATCCTTTGGTCATACCACACAACACCTCACTCCACTACCCGAGAAACACCTTTTCGAATGATATATGGGGCTAACGCAATGATACTGGTGGAGATCAACAACCCCACCTGAAGGCGAGAGCATTTCAATGAAGATATTAATAAGAATGATCTAGACAGTTCAACCGATTTGCTTGACGAAATTAGAGAAATAGCCCAGGTCAGAGAATTTGCAGCCAAGGACTGATTGGCTAAGAGGTTTAACCTGAAGGTCAGATAAAGAGGGTTTTATAATGGTGACTTAGTTCTCAAAAGAATTATTGATCTGAAGAACAGGGGGAAAATTGTCTTCAAACAGGAAGGCATTTACCGGGTTCTACATAAGCTAAATAGTGGAGCCTACAAGTTAGAGACTTTAGATGGCATAGAAATATCTAGGACGTGGAATGTATTCAATCTTAGACTTTATTTCAGTTAAAATCATATAATGTCAACATCAATAAAATGTACGGGATGCACTCTTTTTCCTTGCAAGGGCGGGGGTTTTTAATGAGACACTCTAACTGAAAAAATCAATGTAACACTAAAAACTAGGTCAACCTTGCCTTTGGGAAAAAGGGACTCTGAACCACAACTCGGTTAACCTCACATTCAGACAAAAGGGGCTCTGAACCACAACTCGATCAACCTTGTCTTCAGACAAAAGGAGCTTTGAACCACAACTCGGTCAACCTCGCCTTCGGCCAAAAGGAGCTCTGAACCACAACTCGGTCAACCTCACATTCAGACAAAAAAGGCTCTGAACCACAACTCGGCCAACCTCGCCTTCGGACAAAAGGGGCTCTGAACCACAACTCCGTCAACCTCGCATTCGGATAAAAAGGGCTCTGAACCACAACTTGATCAACAACCCGACTCAGATGACTATAAATGTCGCTGACGCATTAAAATTCAGTGTTACATAACTTTGAACACCTTTATTCATGGTGACGACGACTGTTATACAGTTACGTAGCTCAAGGGTCACACCTTAATTGAGGCTCTTAGTGGCGCTAAAGGAGAACTATATAAGAAACTCCCGCGAGAGAGATAAATAAGACATTCATTTTTAGGACAATACACACCACTATCGTAACTCTTAAATCCCCCAAATAATCTATAGAAATCTACCCTATTATGACTTCTTTGTCTCCGTTAATACTTTTTCAAAATCATATTTAGACCACTTATACTTTTGTCTTCTTGCACGTCATCTATATATACCGTGCGTGCAAACTAAAAAAAACCACTACCCAGTAAGTGGGAAAGGATTCCCTTGCAAACCCATCGTATTTCATTTTGCTTGCAATGCGATGTTCATTTATTTCCACGTTGTGAATTGCTTGCAAAGAAAGAAAGAAGGGTAGAAGTGGGAAAAATAAAATAGTAGAGCTTTCTTTTGTATTTCTTTTTTTTTTCAAGCGAGAAAAAGTAAATACATGGAATCTTCTTATATTTGGTCTCTCTATGGTGTTCCAAAGAGAGAATGTGTGAATCCTCTTTGCTATTTCTCTCAATAGTTATACTATTACAGTTTGCTCCATTCTCTATACGTAGAGATAATTGTAAATTTGTAATTTGCTATCCAAGTAATTGTATCTCATTTTACAACACTTTCTTGTTAAGTGAAATTCATGTAAAATGTATTTTCAAATTAGTGGGAATGACAAATTCAAGAATTTCACTAAATAAAAAACGTTAAACAAAAAAGTGTCAGAGCAAGTTTTAGGCAAACAGTTTAAACGTTTTTTTAAGTTTACTTTACGTTGAATCCTAATAGCGAATGAAGCAAACAGTTCCAAAACTTTAATAGAGAGACTGCAAAATAAGGAAAAAGATACTACAACACTAAAAGATATTTTAGAAAGTGAAACGTATTGAAATAAACAAAGTAAGCCTTCATATAGACTAACATATACTACTAATTACTAATAACCTCTCTCTAATTATATCTACAAAATTGCATGTTTTTGATTCACTATGATAAGTAAAAGTGATTCTAATTCTATAAACATAAACTTAATAGAAATTTTTAAATGTTTTTCATAAATTAACTTCACCTTCAAATTGAGATTTTGAAATTTAGCCACCAAACGGCAAATGCAATTCTTAGCCACAAATTTGTTGTTTAACTCTCTTTTATATAAAAATATATCAAGGCATAAATAGTGTTACACTCAACTCAACTCACTCTAAACTAAAATTTATTTTACACAGTCATATAGCATCACTTTTGCCAATATAAAACCAGACACTATTTACTCCAAAAATAAAAATAAAAACAAATAAATAAATCACATACATACCTCGTTCAAACTGATTTCTCTGTCAATGTATAGAACGACAGCTTGTGATTTCCATAACAAATATATAAACATATAAACAAGACAAACATTTGCGACAGTTTTCCAAAGAAAACGTTGTTTTTATGCATTATGAATACAGAACACACGAGAAAAAATAAAGTTGAGACAGTTCAAGTTATAATGCCGGGAAATATAAACTAGAATTTGATGGTAGTTCTGTATTTTCAAAATTTCACACAAATAAGATTGCAGTTGCGGGTATCTGGCACAATATCAGATGAAGGAAAAGAAGCACCAAGCCAGCAAGATTATGTATCCCATAACTGTTAGGAACACCACAGCACCCAACAGTCACACAAAACAGCATGCAAAAATGGAACTCAGTTGGCATAAAGTTTCCTTCATACATAATATCTTGGCAAGAAAGCAAACCCTTTATTACAACATGTGGTTGGGAAGATTACCCCTCCAAATGCAGATTACAAATCATCCTCAAAAACTAGTTACCAACTACACAAAAAAGTGCAGTGGAGTTCAATACAACCAATTCAATTGTCATCCTTTTTATATCTCTCTATCACTAAACATACAATTAATCTCTTTTAACATCCCACCAGTATAATCCTGGATCACTAAACATACAATTAATCTCTTTTAACATCCCACCAGTATAATCCTGGATAGAACATTATGGCAAAAGTTGATCATGTAGCCGACCTCAGATAGTGGGATAAGGCTCGGTTGTTGCCGTTGTTTGTAACATTCCAACATTATTATCAAGATTGCTGGTAAAGAGAAGAATCATCCTTGTTTTATTCCAACCAATTGCAAAAAAGACTTCAAATTTATCATTATTCCTACTATAATAATAACTATGACTATAATTTAATACCATCATTATTCTAGCTTTGATCAGTACCAAAATCTTTGATCCTTGACAAAGGTGTTCTCAAGTAACCATCAACCTCAAACTTCTTAGGTGACAAATCCCTATACTTTGCAAATTCCTCCTTAGCTTCATAATTCTTATCAAGCAATGTATAAATCACTACCCTGCAAAAATAAGGTCTAAAATCATTAGCATCTTCTTTGATTAATACCTCATACATACCCAAAGCTTCATCAACATTCTTTTGCAGAAACAGAATCTGAGCCATTATCAACTTCACATCCCTGGCTTCCTTTTCCTTGTTGTCTTCCAAAGCAACTCCAAGCCTTTCAATTACAGCATCTCCTTCTCCGCAACGGTCCATCAAAAGCGCGTTTTCGAAAAGCGCTTCGAAAGAAAGCGGGTTTGACTTTAGGATTTCGTCATAGAAAGTTCTTGCGCTGTCGGTATCTCCAATTTCGGTAGTTAACCTCGCCGCGAGGAACTTCCAGTCTGATACTTGTGGTTGCGATGAGATCAGGTGTTTGAGGATCTTTAACGCCTCTTCGTCTTCGCCTAGGTCGAGCTTCTGCTGAAGAAGAGACTTCAGAGCTTCCGGTGATGAAGATTCATAGTTTGTTTCGAGGAATTCGGACAGAGGCGATGTTTCTGTGGTGTCAGCGTCGGCGAGAACTGCATCTGTTTCGGTTTCGATTTCAGTTTCGTCGATGACTTCGGTGAGTGTAGGCGGCGGTTGGGCTCTGGCAGGGGAAGGTGAAAATGTGAGTACGGAAGTGGCGGTTGCAACAGAGAAGACTGCTGCTCCGGCGATGTTTTTGAGGTGGTGAAGAACGGGGGAGTTGGAAGAGTGGGCTTTGACGGTGAATCGAGGGTGGCGGGGGCGGCGAGGGAGAGGGAGGTTAGGTGGGAATTGAGAAGGAGTGTTGGTGAAAGTGGGATTGAAGGAGAGGATGGAGAAGGATGGTGAAGTGGGGATGGTGGAAGTCATGGTGGAGATTTGGTTTTAGGGTTTGGGTGGAATGGAGAGAAGAAGGTGCAATGCAGTTATAGGTGGTGGTTAGGTTGTGAGTTGATTTTGGGGTTTAAAATAAAGAAAGCACAAGAGACACGTGGGTTTAGGTGGGGGTAGGTGTGAACATATCTGTGCTGGTTCCTTCGCCCGGTTTGACCCGAATAAGAAAAAGACAAAATTGAAGACAAGAAAGGAACCAAGTTACAAACGAGATTTTTCATTATGCCCACTTCCTATCACTACATTTTTTTAGTTTACATTCAAAAATTATAAGAGTATATCTCTTATAATTTACATTCAAAATTTTATTTTATTTCAAAAAAGTTTACTTTCAAAATTCGCTGAATTTTTAAATATAGCTAAAAAAATACTGCATATTTGAGATAAAGATTAATTCGAAATTTTAGATTAAATTTCATATGTTTGCATTCTAACATCAAAATTGTTAGTATAAATCTTTGATGTGGTGTTGCAAGTTGTTCCATTGTGGTTATATTAAGTAGATTTATAAAATGAATATTATAACACTGAAGTTTGTTTTAGTAAAAGGGATAAAGTGATTTATGAATTAAAATTATTTTTTCTGTTCAAGTGATGGTATTTATATAGTATGAGAAATTGAGTCTTTCTTACTTGTTAAAAGTATAATATGTGATAACGTCAGTGATTAAGAGTTGTCATAGGTTTTTAAAATTTATTGTAGGGTTTAGAGTTAGCTCACGTAAGGACGGAATAAGCTTTGTATTTGTGGTATCTGTGTAGACAAGATTTGATCCCTTATCAGTCTTAAGGTAGAAGTATTTATAAAAGCTCTTTGAACCTGGGCTATAAAACCAAGTAACCATTTTTATCCTAGCTCCATGACTAGTAGGCGTGGTCAGGTGAGGACTTATTCTCCCTAAAATTATGGGAGAAGCGGTTGCCTCTCTTTAACTGTCGTTATGTCAGTTGTTATTTGAAACATGTCATCGCCCACGTTCAATGTGTGAATGGAAGTTAATTCGAATGACCCGAGCCCAATTAGACGACTAATTAACCAAATTCAGGCAACCTTTTGTCCCATATCGAGCAACTGTCGCCAAGCGTTGGGCGTCGTAAGGCAAGACTTCTGGCAGCCTTATTCTCATATCGGGTGACATGTGGTTTCACTATGGAGCTCTCCCCCGCTAGTGTGGTTGGATTATCCATCTTCTTCATATATTATCTCTTCTTAGAGCCTAATAAAATTATACTGATACACAATCCCTGAAGCATGGGGGCTTGAAAATGCCAAAGTGATTTAACTTCAGTGTGTTGGCTGAAGATTTTGATAATATTATTAGAAGCCAAGTGAATTGAACGTTTCGATCGAAATGAAACAAAGTGTCATCTTTCGAAATAGCAGAAGCAGTGTTTCGAATAAGCATATCAAAGCTTGAAGCTTCGAGTGGCAGTTATGGGAACATATCTAAAGAAGTCTCGAAATAACAAGGTTGTGTCTGAGAAGTGCGTTCGAAACAGAGAAGTACCAAAACATTTGAAATTCAAATGGAAGCGGGACATTCGAAGTTTGAAATTTATGTGCTGGAGCATTTGGAGACACGTGGAAACAAGAGAGAGGCATTGTTCTGCATGTTCTGAACGTGGCATAATCCTATAGCAAGACCGTTATGGTCGAATTAGTATAAATAGAAGTCTTAGTATTAGGATTTCGTGTGTCATATCTATTGTACTAAATACTCAGTAACATTCAAACTACCACATGGCAAGGGAAACGAATGCAAGAGCAATGTACGTATGATAGCACCACATATTTATGATTTAATGAAAACCTTTTATCATTTCCAGCACTTTCCTTTATCTTTCTGCCAAATAACCTTTACAAGTTTTCTCATTTAAAGTTTTTTTACTTCGAAATCTCTTCATTAAAGCCTTACATTTCAATGCTTTCTTTACGTTTCAAGCACTTTACATTTCAGAAAACTGTCATACTTTCCATGCCTTTATCTTCAAGCTTTATCCTTCGAACGCCTATTTTTACTTAGAGTCATTTACAGATTTCTTGCATTAAACGCTTTCTTCATATTTCAAATCTTTTACGTTCCAGAACATCTTTTACATTAACTGTTTTTATAATTCGAAACCATTTACTTGCCTTTTATGCAATTTTACATGTCTTTACAATTAACATTTATTCATGCAAGTTAGTTTCGCGCACATACATTTTGATTACACCTTTAGATCTGTAAGAAAGAAATCGAAATAAGTCAAACACCTATACAATACTCAAATACCAACCATGAATATTTGTTCGATCATGAGAGTTACCCTAATGACCAAGGAATCCTAGGATCAATCTAGTCGATCTTGTGAGTTACCAGAGAAATTGAATAACAGTCAGTAAGTTTATTCGATAGTTTGGAAGACTAGCAGTTGTTTACCAGAAATCACTGGAAACAAATTGGCACACCTGATGGGACCAATAATTGGATATTAGAAATAAAGATTGTTGAGACATAACCGTTATAAAAACGTTGGAACCTAAGAAGTTTGCTGTTTTATGAACCTAAGAAGTGGTAAAATAACCAACAGCAACCAACCCTTATCCAGAAGAAAACGTTTGAACAAGATGTCTAGTTCTGACAATCAACAAGGGGAACAAAATGCCCCACAGACAACATGCACTAATGTGTCCACTTCGATGGGAACATCTAATGTGATCCCTTCGAATGCAGTCTGTTGCATCTTCAACTAGTAATATAGCCACCAATGGAGTAAGTGGCATATCAACTAATAGTTCGATCTTAGGAAATACTGGAACCATTGGTTACCCTGGGGGATTCGTTCCACCATCAGGGACACAATCCCATTTCGCCACTCCACTAACTAGACCACCCGGTTTCGATGGAAACAGAACCAGAAATTCCTCTTATGGAATGCCAACTTCCTTTATGGCAGGTTTACACAATTCCACATCGAATTCATCACCACAATTAGGGTCTGGGTCTGGGGCGAATCAGTTTATGACAAACAACCAAGGGTCAGTGGGTTATAGCATAATGCCTATTTTAACCACAGAAAACCAGTTGGCTTTTAGGCAATTGATGGATGACAGTAACCATAATATGATAGGGGTGTTAGCACAAACTATGCGGGAAATATTTGCCCCAATAGTGCAAAATGTGACTGTGACAAACAGGGAAAATGCTGACAACATGAGTTGAATAGCAGATTTCTTTGCTCCCCCAGAAAGGCGTAGGCAGAATCAGGCGGGATTTCAAGCAAACATGCCTGTTATAGAACAAATTGCTAACGACCCAATTTATAGACCACCTAGAGAAGAAGTTAACTTAGGGGCCAGGGCACCAAGGTTAGAAGCCCCAATAATCCCAGGCCCACAAAGAGAAATTATGGAACCAGGGGCAAGGGTCGAAAGGCTAGAAGCCCCAGAGTTTCGAGAAGAACAACCTAGGGGAATTGTCATGGTTGGTCGAAATCAAGATGCTGACGCTGTCGTTCATAGAATTCGAAACGATAACATCTTAGCAGAAAACAATCTAACCACCATGATAGAGAGAGTCATGGCCCAGAATGGCCTCAACACAGGAATGAGAAGGCCAAATTATGCTTCTCCTATATTAGATTGCATAATGCATACTGATTTACCAAGGGGATATAAAGTCCCTAAATTTACGAAGTTCGCTGGGGATACCAATGAGTCAACAGTCGAACACATAGCGAGATATCTAACTGAAGCGGGAGATATAGCCAATAATGAAGATCTCAGGATCAAATATTTCCCAAGTTCCTTGACTAAAAACGCCTTCACATGGTTTACCACTTTGCCTCCTGGGTCCATTGACACTTGGGCTCTCTTGGAGAGATTATTCCATGAACAATTTTACATGGGACAGTCGAAAATAAGCTTGAAGGAATTAGCCAGTGTCAAGAGAAAGTTCACCGAACCCATAGACGATTATTTGAACAGATTTAGGCTTTTGAAATCCAAATGTTACACAGTAGTGCCTGAACACGAGTTAGTCGAAATGGCCGCTGGTGATTTGGATTACTCTATTCGAAAGAAACTAGACACTCAATATTTGAGGGATATGGCTCAGTTAGCCGATAGGGTTCGACAGGTCGAAAGGCTAAAGGCCGAAAAGGCCAGAGTCTTTAAGAACAGCAAGAAAGAAAGGATCTCTTATGTTGGAACTGAGGAAGCAGAAGAATATCCTGAATTCGAATTCGAAGAGGTCGAAATCGACCTCGCTGAATTAAAACAGGCTCCACCTTACTCCTGCAAATTATTGGTTCCCACAAAAGGGAAAGAGATTGTTGAAAATGAGAAAAGTGACAAATTCCCAAAGAAGGTTTATACCTTCGATGTCACTAAATGTGACGAGATTTTTGAATTACTTGTCAAAGATGGCCAACTCATTGTGCCATCAAATGTCAAAATACCTCCTTTAGATCAGAGAAAGAAGAGAGGGTTTTGCAAATATCATAGTTTCCTAGGCCACAAAACCTCATAATGTTTTCTTTTCAGGGACCTAATTCAAAACGCAATCAAAGATGGCAGACTAAAGTTCGCTGATAAGGCAAAGATGAAAGTGGACGAAGATCCCTTGGACGTCGCAGACACCAACTACTCTGAGCCTGCATGCATTGGAGAGATTAACATGGTGGAAGCTGACCAGAGCGATGCCCTAACAGGGGAGAAAGGTAATGAAACTGAAAACTGGGTGATGGTCGAAGTCGATAAGGAGGTCACTGAAGACATCCAGAAGATGCCAGAGACTTCGATTGAAGCAGCACCTGTAGCTGTTGCAAAAGAAACCCAGGCTACTGAAGGCCAGGGAAATCAAAACCAAGAACTAACACAGGTCACTAAAGGCTTGAGGCTGGAATTGGAGAAAGTCCAAATCACGAAGCCAACTTCCCCTCAGAAGGAAATATGGGACACTCTAGGGGAACCCAGTGGAAAATTTGACTATTTG